TGTGCGTCACGGCGCGTCTGGCCAGCCTGTGTCTGCTGGCTGCCGCGCTGGCCGGTACACCGCCCGATTGCGGCCACCCGGACCAGCGGTGCGGCCCAACCACGCCACTAGCTGCCCAGCCGTGGCACCTGATGCGTCACCAGGCGCGCGCCGCTCAGCTGCCGGCCGGGCGCGACCGGCGTCAGCCGTACTCGGCCGCCGAGCCGGAGCTGGCCGCTGCCGCCGGGGACAGAGCACAGGTCAGGCGCAACGCCGCCCAGCAGCAGGCGACGCATGTGGTGCAGGCGCTACTGGTCGAGCCGTGGCTAAACGCCAGCTCGCGCTATAAGCGGCAGCAGCTGGGTGACCAGCGCGTAGTGCAGCAGCAGGCGCTGGTGGCCGCCACTCTGCTGAACGCGGCGCTGGAGCGCAGCCAGCCGGTCAGCGCCGCCGACCTGCTGCGCGTCCTGACGGAGTTCCACGGCCAGCCCGACCGGCTCCAGCAGAACCTCAACGACGCGCTGGCCGCGCTGCTCGGCCGCACGCGCTCGCGCGAAATCCAGGTGGAGGCGTTGATCCTGGAGCTGAACGCCACACTGCTGGAGGCGGCTGGCGCCATGACAGAGCTGCGCCACCAGGCCGGCAGCGACCGCGCCGACCTGCGCCAGGCGCAGCTCAACATCGAGCGCATGACCGGCTTCATCAACTCGGTGACGGCGGTGGTGGAGCGGCGCGTCACGGCAGCGGAGGGCTCGCTGCGAGGCCTGGCTGCCACCGACCTCGGCCTGATCGCCAATGTCGACCGGCTCAACCGGACGCTGGCCGAGCTGCAGCGCCGCCAGACGGAGGCAGCGGCGCTCGGCGACCGCCAGTTGGCTGTTCTCAGCGGCGACCTCTCCGAGGCGAGCGCGGCCGTGGCCGACCTGCGCTCGTCTCTTGAGGCGCTGCGGGAACGGATCGAGGCCACTCCGCCCGCCGCCACCGGCAGAGCGGTGCCCGACGCCGAGCCGGCCGCAGTGCACGCCGAGCTGGCGTCATTGCGCGCGCTGCACGTCGCCGAGCAGGGCGCCGTGCCCGCGCTACGCCGCCAGCTGGAGAGGCTGCGCGAACAGGTCGCCGACGCCCGGCACCGCCAGGCCGAGAGCGAGGCGCGCTGCAACCGGCTGGAGGACCGTCTGGAACGGCTGGAGGCCGGCCAGCAGCCTGAACAGCTTCAGCTGCTCCAGACGCAGATGCAGGACTCGCTGACCCGACTTCAGGGCCTGGAAGAGCGCGAGACGCTGCTGCTGCCGACGCCAGAGTCGGTCCGACCGGCCAGTCCATTGGCGGTCCCAGGTGACTCCGCTGATAGTATATTGGGTGACACTGCAGGCCTGGAAGACACCGGCCCGGACGGTGGTGCCGGCGACGCGGCGGACCTGGATAGCGCGGACCAAGAGGCCACGGCAGAACAGACCGAGTCCCCTGAACCGTGATAACGCCCGGCAGCCCTCCGTTCCCGGTCCCGGTCCTGAGGACGAAGAGGACCTCAGCGTGGCGGGGTCAGTGGCGACAGGCCGACTGTCGCCGGGACCTGGGGCCACCGGCCAGGACATCGTCACCGCACACCACCTGGTGACCACCGACGAGCGCGGCGGCACCATCCTCCTTGGACGGAGCATCACAGTCGGCGGCGGGTAAGCAGACCCCGCTGGGTGTCGTCTGGGCCCGTTATTACCGTGATGTGTTATGCACAGGCGAGCTTGGCGCAAGCAGCTGTCATGTTAATTTTGACATTTAATCGAATATGGTGCCAGGCTCAGACACTGACGGCACATTTCAATCTCTGGCGTTCTGATGACAGATGTTCATAGAGTGATTTACGGATGAAGTTACACTGACGGGTCCGACCTGCCCTTTCTGTGTAAAGCGTTCGCGGCCAGCAGCTTACCCCATCGGCCTGCATTCCAGTGTGGCGCCGCGCACCAGGTCCAGACCTCCTCCTCATACGCCAGCTGAGTCGTCCAACAGCCTGTCCGGCATGCTGTCTGGGCAGGCCAGCCTCTCTCGCGGCACGCCTGACCATCCTGCCACCTCTGGCTGGCGTCCCGTGCCTGGTCGCGAGTCACGGAGGCTGCCGCAGAAGGAGCCGCTGGTCACGCCGGACCCGCCGCACGGCGCGACGCTCGGAGCTCCCAGCAGCGGCGAACCCGCTGCCGCGGCACCCAGCAAGCCCGCGCCCAGTGAGCCGGCGCCCAGCGACAGCTCCGACGCTCCATCAACCAGAGCATTCAAGAAGCCGACGGCCGATCGGACGCTGCTGCCGTCCAACAGGTGGTCGCCGGGAGGCTGGAGAGCGAAGGGCCGGAGCCGGGCGCCTCCGCCCGAAAGGATGGGCGTGGTGATCGACCCAGACTCGCGCCAGGCCTGGTCCGGCGCATCGGACGGCAGCGGCGGCCGCGCCCTGCTCAGCTGCCAGCCAACTAAGAAGTACCGCCGCCTGGACGGCATGACCGCCTGGTGCCTGGCCAACTGCCCCATCTACTGTCCGCGTACGCACTGCGTCTGCAGCTGGGAGGACGGCACAAGCGACTGGAGCCGTCGCCTGTAAGCGGTGCTGCTCCTCAGCCCCTCGTGCGGAGGCCGGTCACCACGCGGCTCCCACCTACCTCTGTTCGACGGTGCGTTTGTCGACATTGCCACTGTTAGTGTGAACTGTGCTATCTGAGTTTGGAGCACATCGCAGCGTCCTAGTGAACAAGTCCCTCCTGACTTCACGTTGCCATGCGTGATGAGCCCTAGCGCACAACGGAAGCGACTGAGTTCAGCAGGAGTGTAGGCTGACGACATGGAGTCATACACAGTTAGCCGCCGTGAAAATGCTCAGTGGGAAAATACAGTGAAGCGCGCGGAAGTGCTGCTGTCGCGATTACAGGTAAAGACAGTCTACATCACTGCCCCGCGATGGTGAACGCGACTGGACGGGTGGAGGAAAGACGAATACAAAATCGACCCGTATTATACACCTCCGCCTCGGCCAGAGCAAACGGACCGACTTCAAAGCCCCAGGCGCGGGTCCCAGACCCGCCCCTATGAGTACATGACCCACGTCCCAGTTGCGGGCCTAGACCCGACCCTGTGAGCGCGGGTCCCAGACCCCACCCTGTGAGTACATGACCCACGCCCCAGGCGCGGGTCCCAGACCCGCCCCTGTGAGTACATGACCCACGTCCCAGGTAACGGCCCAGACCCGACCCTGTGAGTACATGACCCACCCCCCAGGCGCGGGCCCTAGACCCGCCCTATGAGTGCATGACCCACGTCCCAGGCGCGGGTCCTAGACCCGCCCTATGAGTACATGACCCACGTCCCAGGTAACGGCCCCAGCTCGGCCCCTGTGAGGACATGACCCATGCCCCAGATGCGTCGAGGGCGCGCGCCAGCGGGTGGCCTCCAGTGTGGCGTCACCGTGTGGTTTCAGACATTAGCACATTTACGTGGATGGACGTGGATGTGCCGTGTTAATGGGCGTGGACGTGACGGGCACACGTCAGACGGGCAGACGTCAGTTATCTGTGTCTGGGTAGGTCGACATCGGAGCCAGCTCAGCCGAAGGAGGCGTGGAGTGTGGATGAAGCCTAATCAAAATGGATGCGAAGCTGGAATGCGCTCGGTATAGCCGGCCGTTCCATGCGGCAGATCCACTTCCCACATTTGGAGTATCAATGGCCCGTACCCAGTAAAGATCTTTGAAACCTTTGCGACCGAAACGCGGCCGCCAAAGTCGTTTCCCCCGAAACAGATCTGCATCCGACAAATGCAAACCTGTACTCCTGTGGCATGCGATGACGTGTTGCGCCCTGCTGTAGTTCGTCTGGCAATGCTTCCCGTCGCAGTGCTCCACATCCTTCACCGCACCAATAAGTCCATCACCAGAGACAAAGCCACATGCAGCAGAGGCTGTCGCAGCATACCCACCAACGGCACCCACCAACCGTACCCAGCAATCGTACCCACCAACCGTACCCACCAGTCGTACCCATCATTATACCCACCAATAGATCTAGCGAAAAAAAAACAAAAATGCACGCATATGTCCAGTAGCGCCCTCAGTATAATCGGAAATTTTCCTAAAGCAAACTAACAAAGTCCCTTGCTTGCGGCACTCGAACCACTTTATTGGAACGTGTGCCACGACTCCTACTCGATGCACGTGCTGGCTTGGCTGGCCGTTCTACATGGAAAGGTACACGCGGACGCTGTCCCATAGGCGTATGAACAGGGGGGGGGGGGGCAGGGGGCCATGCCCCCCCCCCACTTTTCAAGGTGGGGGGCCATTCATGTTAACTGCCCCTCCCCCCACATTTCAGATTAATGCTGCATCTGGCTTTCTTTTGCACTACATTAAACATGCATGCTGATTTACCTAGTTCAACAACCATCTCCCTTAAGATGCGCCATCTTTTTTTGTTTGCTCATTGGCCATCGATTAGTGTTACAGCCACAAGGCTGACGCCGCACGGCCTGGAGACTGCAAAGCCGGGGTCCGAGGCTGTTATTGCTATGACTTGCGAGCACGCATGTTCAACACCATATTACATAGTTTTCTACCAGCAATCAGCTCTGACAGGATCTTTAGCATTTTAAGACGAATATAGATTAGCCATGTTACTACAAATTAGGAACCCCATTTCATCTACAATCCATAGTCAGGGAGAACTCAACATCTCTGAAAAACACAGAAAAACACAAAACTGGAGTCTATGTGACAACTATCGGACTGCCTGCGGCGATCAGGGATGTTGTTGCGTTAATGAGGGTTCATGTGCTGATCCGGGGCTAACTGCGCGGGTGAGAAGGCCTCCCGTGTCAGGGATGGGAACAATGTGATAGGATATATCCTTCTAATGGCCTCCGGATCGACCAGGAGATCCTGCCTCGTGACACCAGAACGATAGCCAGAAGACACCTCGCGATGGAACCGAATAGCCCTTCAGCCCTTGACCGGAATCGGTAATGTACTCCTGTATGTACTCCTGGTG